CACCTATTCACCCTTCTTTCTATCTCTCTTTTGCCGGATCTTCTTCTTCTTCTCTCATTCTTTCGTGACTCCGTCGCCAATTACCTCAACACCTGTTCTAGACATCCTCACCTCAATTCCTTTCTCTTCAACCTCTCCTCTTCTTCTTCCTCAATCAGTTTCAACTACTCTCTCTGCCTCTTCTAATCTCTCCCCTCTCCACCTGAACCCTTCCTCTTCAATCTCCTTCTCCGTAACCTCTCTCGTTCACCTCAACCTAGAGCCACGATCCTCTTCTACCAGAGGATCAGAGATGCAGGTGGTCGTCTTGATCAATTCAGTTTCACTCCAATTCTTAAAGCAGCGTCAAAGTGTCTCCGCCTTGTTCGAGGGTATGGAGATTTACGGCCTTGCGTTGAAGACTGCTGTTATGGATATGTAAGCTTGTTGCGGCAGGATTGTCCAGGCGCGCAAGGTGTTCGGTGAATGTCTCACAGAGATTTTGTTACTTGGAATACTATGATTGAGAGGTTAACAATCATATTCTATAGTGTATTTCTTATCTTTTTCGAAAGGTGTTTACTTTAAGGTTGTTTGCAGATATTGCCGATGTGGACTCTTAGATGAAGCTTTCAAGCTTTTTGAGGAAGATAAAGAGCTCTAATGTGATGCCATATGAGATGATTCTTTGTAAATTGTAACATTGTCTCGGCATGTGTTCGTACTGGGAATACGAGATATGACGGAGTTATTTACTAGTTTTTGAAAGAGAATGATGTTAGGATGGACGCTCATTTGCTGACTGCTCTTGTCACTATGTACGATGGAGCAGGCTTTATGGATACAGCAAGGGAGTTTTATGCGAAGATGTCAGTGAGAAGCTTGTTTGTTTCGACATCTATGGTTTCTGGGTTCGCAAAAGCTGAGAAATGTAGTGTCGTGGAGCTCTATGATCAATGTCTTTTCTTTATTTGATTCAGGTAACCAGACTAAATCTATGGTTCTGTCTCAGTTTCATCTTGGTTGGTTGTTGATATAGCTCTTGTTGTTTGAACTTTGTCATGAATTGTAGTTCAATTTGATCTCGATTGGTTGTGGAGTTTGTATCAGTGCTGGTTATGTTTTTTAAGACCATTTTGTAGAGAAACTTGCAATGGACCACACAAATATTCTCATCTCTTAACTAAATCTCTTAGGCTCACTTTTCCAACTAAAAAGCATTAAAAATGATTAAGAACCCCTAAATGAGTCTTTGGGATGAAGATGCTCTTCCTAAAGGGGGAGAAATATAACAATTAGATTAAAACCCTGATTATGGATTATTAGTGAATATAAAATTCATAAGCGAATCGATTGAAACAGGCTCCCACGTTTTGATATCTTGTACAAAAGTAACCAATAAAGAATAATCAAATAATATCTTATCCCGTCTGTAGCATATCGACCGCATAGCGCAGTGGATTAGCGCGTCTGACTTCGGATCAGAAGGTCGTGGGTTCGACTCCCACTGTGGTCGTTTTTCTTCTTGTCATGTCCTTACCCCATAAATCATGGGGGACAATATTCTAAACGTGTACTTAAGCGAGATCTTCTTTAGCCTTTCTTTCTACATTTAAGAAGAACCTAATCTTGGAGGGTTGCAAAACCCAAACATAACACAACTTTTTCAACAGAACCTAACTTTCTTGCCTAAATTTTGGCAACTTTTTTGTTTTCTACCTTCTCTTTTTTTTTTTCTCATTTTCTTTTGATAGTGAAGTCTAGAGAAGAGGAATAACTGGAAGAGTATCAGATCGTTTCTCATAATTTTAATTCGTTGTCCCCGTCGACTTAATTGTAATATATCCCTATAGACTTCTTCCTCAGTTTTTTAAAAAACAAAGTACGAATTGTACTTCTATATATCATCTTATTTTGGATGTCAAAGTCCCAACACACTCGAATCCACTCTTACTACAGGATCTACAGATACACAAATTAATCATGTGAAATAGACTCTCTTAGATTGTCACCATGTTTAAAGTTCATGTAAGCAAAATAAAGAAATAAACTGATTCATGTCTTTTCTAGATTCCATCTTATTATAGATGACAGACTCATGATACATTTGTGTTTAAAATATTTAGAAATAGTTAATGAAAAAATGTTTTATGCTTTTGTGTTTATTAGTAAACATAATCATTAAACGCTTTCCCTGAATAGCTAAATTCATTAATAGATGTTCATGATGGCTGCAGTGGTAGTAACGGCAAAAGAAGAACCTCATGACTATACTTCTTAAACCCATAAAAAAGTGAACTTCCAAAACTAGAAGAAGTAAGATCAGTAGAGAGTCAAAGTCAACGACCTAGTAGTGACTCAATACTAGCATCATAAGCTCATGAGAAGTCAGAGGTTAAGCTCTCTCACAATTGTTGTGTTTGTGATTTTACTCCCGAGATTGAACATCGTAAGATCAAACAAGACCTTTGTAGAAACCGTATTTTACTACAACGGGAACAACTAATATTTATAAAAATAATAAGAATGTAAATCAAAATTACAATGTCAAAACAGACAAATAAAGAGGAATTATAGAGTCGAGATGGTTAATTTCTTTTCATAAATCTTTAAATGCTCCGTAGTGTGACTGTTTTATAGCACCCAGATTCCCAAGATACAACTACACAATCTTCGAATCTACGTCACACTATCAAAAGCCTAACAAAGCTAATTTTGTGATGTACTCTCAGACTCAACAAAAAAAACTCTAAATTATTCACATGAGAAAATGTGACTTTCTTTTGGTATTGTTGTGTGTGATTTTCTATAATGCTAACAATCCATTTTATATAAAAAAAATAAGAAGCACAAATTTCATTTTCAACATAAAATGAAACCTTCATGATGCACTAAAAGAGACTTTAATTTTTGCCAATCAATATATAAATTTATTTCACATTTAACTATAAAATCAAAGAGTAAAATTGTTATTGTTTGACCAATTAAAAAAATAATCAACTTTAAAATGGATTTTTTTATATTTTATCAATATAAAAGATCACCATATACTTGATTTGCAAGATTAAGTTAATGAACATAAAGTCCAACTAACAAATCAAAATTCAAATCCAATTAAATATCTAATATGTGTACTTGTTACTTTGTATAAATTTCTCAAATCACACACATTGGATCTCCATTTCTCATTCAAATAAAATTCATTTTTTACATATGAATACATTATTCATAATGTCCAAAAAATAGTTCCAACAATCTCTCGCATGAATAAAAATGACTTTAAATACTAGACAACTTGACAGACTTGACTTCCTAGACAAGACTCGACAAGACCTAACTAAGAACTTTTGAGAGTACAAACGATAAATAATGAGTTGGTAGCAATTTTTCAGCCTTGAACCAGTCATTGTTACTATCGGATTTACTCGGCCAGGAGGTGGCCATGATGTTCTGAACCTCCCAGGCTTTGGTGTAAACCTAGACAATAGCTATACCAGCTTCATTCTCTCATAGAACTAGGTTCTCTGTAGAGTTCATTTTGGCCGTGAACAGTCATGGTTAATCATGAGTAAACTTAGAGAATATAACATTTCCTTCATTCTCCTAGAAACAGCTTCATTTCATACTCACTAAGTGATTTGCCATTAATTTTGTTTAGAGGAGTATCATGTACTACTCCATTCATATTTCAAAACTATGGACACAGATCATTAAAAACAAATGCTTATTCTATATACTTACATATAGCACTGTTTAATCATCATAGGAATTGGGTAGAGACCGAAGTCTTACAGTGCTTTGAACAGATTTAGTTTGACTTAGTTGTTTCCTTGAACATATGTCTTGGAATCTCCAGTCAGTTAGGTAGAGTTACCGCCAAACCTCATCTTAATTCACAGGCTAACTCAATCCCTTAGAAGATATATCAATTGAATCCCATGACACATCTTTTATAAAAAGATCCTAGCGTTTCATCATGATGAACATAATATCTTAAGATTAGTCCAAATCAATTGTCTAATGATTTTTGTCAATTTTTCAAGATATAATTAACAATTACCCACAAAACTCAGTACATGACACTAGTTTTTTTTTTTAATCATATTGTGATAATTATCACTAAGTTCATTTGGCCTCTTGCCAACAACTTTATCAGGTAAGCAAAGTCCCCCCCCCCCCCACATTTCTTGAAATTACTCAAAAAGTAGGTATATTTTCATTTAACGTCTCTTATGAGTTTAGAAAATTAATCTAAAACTGTTATAGATTTACATGAAATAAAAAACAATTTCAAAAAAATATTACAATTTTCTTTAAAATATATTTCACTCATAAAAATTTACTTTTTCATCAAACTACTTTCATAGTTTCTCAAGTTGATTTATAAATCCAATTTATATGTTATAAATTTTTTCAACAACATATTTTTGCTTTTAGCAAATATACATATCATTACAAGATATTATTTGTGGCATCAAAATAACCTCTTTCTTTGGTTATTTTCAACCATATTGATTTTAGAAACTACAATATATTTGTTAGTTCCAGTCACATTGATCCGAAAATTCTCATCGGTTTTTCCCTCGCATAATCAATCTTTATACGAACCGGGTTAAATCATTAACAAAATATGAATGTTTTGTTAATGAACATAGAAATCTACTTTAAAATGTTTATACATTGATCTTTTCCATCCATACAAGCATTCTACTCAAACATAACAATCTACTTTCAAATGGATTTCTTTTTTATATTTTATCAATATTAAAGGTCACCTTATACTTGGTTTATAAGATTAAGTTACTGAACATAAAGTCCAACTAACAAATCAAAACTCAAATCCAATTAAATATCTAATGTGTGTATTTATTACTTTGTATAAGTTTCTCAAATCACACACAATGTACCTCCATTTCTCAATAAAATTCATTTTTGACATATAAATACACTATTCACAATGTCTAAAAAAGTAATTCCAACAACCTTAGCTTTGAGACCTCTTTTATTGCTTCTGCTTACAGATTGTGCTTTAGTAATGTTTCATCTCACCATAAAAGCTTTTGGAGAAGAATTGAGTAATGAAACGGGAGAAGTTAAGAGTAAAAATGGTAATAATGGAGAAAATGGGTCTGGTGCAGAAAACTTTCTAGAAAGAGAAGTTGTTCTTTATCAAGTTGTTCGTGTAATGTTCATAGATTGTAGTCTTTATATAGTTGTTGCTATTTGTGGAGTCTGTTTTCTGTGATTTTGTCAGTTTTCTTGGTCGATTTTTTAAAATAAATATAATGTTTCTATGTTCACTAGTCTATATTTCTTTCCCAAGTTTTGGAATTGGATCTTGCATGAGCACTTAGTTTCAGTTTGTACCTTTTTATATCAATTCGCTCAACTTTTTAGGGGTTTTATTTTTGATATTTTCTTCATTTCAACATTTTTGGAGTTATTATTTTCCATCTCATTTTCTGCTGGAGTGCCACCAACTATTTTTAAAGTAGAATTGTATATAATTCCAATTTCTTGAGTATTTTTTTTCCATTCGTACTCGTTTTATATTTTCTTGTTTATTAGTTTTACTACAAAGTCGTATAGTGATAAAATAATGATTAAAATTTAGGCCAGAACTTTTAAAATCATAAACAAACAAGTAAAGAAAAGCTATCTTCTCTTTTTAATCTTTAGATAAAACAAAAGATCTCTCTTTTTTTTTGTCAAAAAACCCCCTTCTAAAATACACAAATAACATTACAAAAAAACTCTTCCAATCTTCCAATCTTACAAATTTTATCTATTCTATTAAAAGTAAAGTACAAAACAATATATTTCTAAATTTAAGTATTTTTCATAACTTTCATTTTAATTTTCTAACATATTCTAACTACTTCATTTATTGTTTTTCAAATAATTTGAGAACATTAATTACAGAAATACAAAACCGAAATAACCTACTTTAAATGTTTTATTATATACAAAAACCCCCTTCTATTTTCACTCTTTTCTACATATTTCATTAATTATTTTAGTGTAATATTTTGATATTATTTGTTTTACATGTTAACAATAATAATTCGATAGGTTTAAATGAATTTGTTCATGACAAAAATTAAAAATATTTAACAAATATTTTTTTGTTTAGAACAATCAGTTAGGTATCAGATATCTATTCGTACGGTTTCTTTCGAGTATCTTTTTGAGTTTTGAAATTAGATTATGCTTAGATATTATAAATTTTTGGGTGAATTTCAAGTTGGAGTTTTCCAGATCTGGATGAAGTTTTTTCAACGTACATAATCCTATAAGTATTCAAATAACCAATGTATTTGAAAAGGATTCAAATATTTGTATCAAAATAACCATATCACTAGATTCGTTATAGATCTTTTGAACACAATTATTTATATGGTGAAAAATCTAAAATATACAACACTAATATTGAAAAAAATATATTAATATAGAAAACATAAGAATCGCGCAGATCTAGTTATAGTTCTAATTAAAGTTTTGTAACAATAAGATTCCATTGATACACACAGATATGGTACAAAGCCTCTAGCTCAGATCTTGTTAATTATCAAATGTTGTATTAGCATAGACTGATTCTAGATTTGAGGGGAGATTAAAACCTAAACCTAAATTATTTTTTAATTATAAGAATATATTAAAATGGTTTAGAAAAAGGGAAATTAGACCCTATAGCCACACAAAAACCCATAATTAGCTAAGTAGCCAAAATCATACTCTCTCTCCCCTTCTTTCTTCCTATCTCTCTCTACTCTCTCCTAAAAAATTAATTTTCCTTTTTTTTTTCCTAGCTATTTGGTAAATAAGCCTTTAGAAAAATATATCTTAAAAAAAAATGTATCATATGTTGATATGTAAGAGCAAGTATGTAACCTAAAAGGGTAAGTCTATCTAAAATAAGATGAGTGGGTCAGTGACAAAGAGAAGCCTAAAGAGAGAGGAAGTAGGTCCTAATCGACCCAGTCGCACCGCTTATCCTCTCCAATCACTCCATTTCATCTTCACCATATAATTCTCCAAACCCTTTTGTTTCATGTAAAGAGTATGGTCCACCCTTTCATATGGGCACTCATTTTTCAGCAGAAAAACATCTCTTTTCTTTATAATCTAGAAACTTGTGGAACCAAACTTGCGGACCCAAAACTTGGGAAAACTACATAAAACCCCATGAAATTGATACTTACTAACCCCTTAAATCTTAAAAAAAAAAAAAATTCACTTATAATCATTAAAGTGATATTTGTATTATAAAAGCCCTCCATTGTAACTTACTTATTCATGAAATAAGAAACTGACCATAAAGAAACAACGTGTCAAGTTTCTAAAACTATTTATTTATTTAAAAATAAATTAAAATTAAGAAATAGATGAGAATATTAAAAATAAATAAAAATTCTTAAAACTCTCATATTCTAAAATTCAAAATCTTAATTTTTCAAATTATAGTTTTTAACAAGCTGATATATCAACGTGCGATTCAAATCCTTGCTAGTTTGATCCGAGTTTGGATATTATATTTAGATTTTTTTAAAAAATTTCAAAATTCTAAAAATAAAATAATATATCAATTTGAATAATTTATATTAAATATCTTAAATTAACATTAAAGTGAATTATGTAGATATTTTACTATTTTAGTTTATTTTGGATATTTAACTATTTTCCATTTGGAATTAATATATTTAATTAAATTTAATTTTTTTTTTACTTTGGCTTAGTTATGTGTGAAATCATCATCATTATCGATTATATGTTTGAAACTATTACTTTAAGAGCTGATAAAAACAAGTTGACAAAAAAACGCTGATATGTATGTGATAATAAACATATTTTAATGTAATTAGGACAAATTTATAATTGTGAATATGGATAATATAACAGATTAAGTTATTAATAAACTAATATAATTAAGATTATTATATACTTTCGTTTTAGCAAGTATTTAGATTTAAATTTTTTAAATTTTGTTTAAAAAATGTATTAATTTTAAATATAAATATATGTATATATACGTATTAATCAAATTTTATAGATTTTGTGTTTGTATTTTTGTGTTTCAGTGTAATCCAAACTTATAATATATATAAATACATTTTAATGTAATTAGATAAATATGCACTACGACAAATTTCTGACCTCATGGTTTTTGTACAATCTCAAGACGTGCATCAAAATAGCCACGTGTAACGTTTAAACATTATGGTTGGCGAGACGTTATCATCTACACAATACTAAAGGATAAATATGCAATTACAATATTTTAAAATTCAAAAAGAGGTGACTAGTATTTATACTCAACTTCTCTTCTTTTGGTATGCCACACACACAAAATCTTCAACAATAAGAATCTTTATATCATAATTCGAGTGAACAAAAATGTGTTACAAAAAGATTCTTCCTCTTATTATTCCACCGGAGAGCTTCAATGAAAACATGCCGGCGGCAGAAGTGACTGTGGCAACGGAGGTGGTAGCCACCGCTAGTCACCGTGACGGTGACGGTGGAAAGAAGAAGTGTGTGTGTTCACCGTCGACGCATCCTAGATCGTTCAAGTGTAGGTATCATCATCATGAATATCAATGGCTTCCTTCTTCATCTCATCCCTCCAAAAATAACACATCATCTTGTAATCAACAGCTATAGTTTTATGTTCATGGTTATTTAAATCAAACTATAATCGTAAATGTTCTGTTTCTTTATAAAGTAGATCCTTCGAATCATTATAAGACCATGTTTTTTTATCACAAAGGTTTCCAAGCCGACAGCAATCAATGTTAAAATAATGAGTGGTTACTGGTAACAATGGTTCCTGTATATTTGTTTTATCTCTTAGTTACAAAATAAAATAAAAATTGAGGTTACGTGACGGATCAATCGACTCTAAGCATCACTTATATGAAAAATCATAACTGGATCGATCGACTACTTACGATAAGAGAAATTAAGTTCAAGAAAAAAAAAAAAAATATAATTTCTATATAACTAAAAATTTTACCCGTCGATCTTCATTTATCTTCTTATCTCCCTCCTCTCTCTCTTTAATAATCTACTTTTTCTTTTTATGACTATTTCACAAATAAATATTTACGGTAATCAATTTTTTTTTAAACATCAAAATGTTGATCTATTACTCAAACTTGAGGTGGTCTAAGAAGTCAGATGATATTATAACAACCAACATACAAAAGTTTTTGATTGAAAGATCGAACAGTTTTAACTAGAGAATTAGAAAAACCATTTTGTGTCTTAAGAACATAGAAGATCTTGAAATCTAAGAAGAAAATCCACAACGTTAAGAACTTTTCCAATTCTGTTGAGAAGCTTGACCAGTCACAAAAATTTATGCGCATCACTATTCTGTAGCGGTCCTAGTTTACTGAAGACCAAAAGCTGGTTTATAAAAAAAGGCCGCCATTAACAGACCCGTGGGTCGAATTTGGGGTGTTTCCAAACAAACATAATCATTTAAGCCATTAGACTAAAGAATTGTTTGTAATTTAAGGGCCGAAAATTCATAGTTATTTCTGGAGGCCGAAAGCTCTTTGCTTGTTTAGCTTCCTATCAGGGTCGGGCCTGTCGCTATCATCTCTTTGCAGTTCGTCCCAAAACTCTGACATGATGAATGTTGAAGCATATTTTTCATTGTCCACCGCAACATTTCCAGCTCAGAGTGTAAAGTAAACTCCACTCTGTTAAAATTACGCATAGCCATTAACTGACTATTTCCCATACTGTCATTACAAATCCAACCACATCCACTGAACTGAATTGTAGAGGTCCAAAAACCGTCTACCATACAAATATCTGTGAGGGATAAAACTCACCTCCTAATTTTTAGATCAGATCAAGATTGGAGGAAGATAACGTAGGCTGAATCCCGTTTAGAACATGTAGAATGAATATGATTGTATTGATGTTTTTAGTAACAGAATGATTACAAAGATAACTTTTGTGATTACAAAGGATTGAAGAAATGTTTTCGAACTAATGTGTGTGTAAAAAATGATCGGAAAATGAATGCCCTTCTTCTTCATCTTGCTTCTCTTTAAATAGCCTCAGGCCACGTTTGTCTGCTCCTAACTGATCTCCGAGATTGCTTCCGTAAGTTGGAGGATTTGTAACAGCTTGACTCTGACCAAATCTTATGCTTCTTTCTTCGTATCCTGAGCTGCTTCTTCCAGATCTCTGCGAAAGGAACTTGACCTCTTTTCTGTGACCTTATTCATCAGTATTTTAGCAGGTAGCCTCCTGCTTTAAGTTAGCTTCATTCTTATTTTCTTAAAGTCATAACCCGTGGTGGACTTATCACGGCCCATCACCAGCTCTTATTATTTGAATCCATTAGCTTTAGCTAGCGGACCATATTCGGGCCCAACAATATCTCCCAGACTTGACACTCTCTCTCTCTGCATAACGGGCTAACTCCAATGGATCTCTATCAATTCCTTTGAACAACTTATCGTTCTGCGCCTTCCAAATATACCATATTAGTCAAAGATATGGATCTCTGTCCAATTCCGGTTCTATTATGGCATTTTTTCTCCAAAAGAGATAGTCCATATTCGCATATGTTCTCTGTAATGGAAACAAGGTAGGACTGGTAGGCGTATATGATAAGGTCCAAACTTGCATTGCAGATGGACAGATTGCATGTGTATATGATTCTTCTTGTTCCCCACATCGTAGACAGTGATTATCACATCTCATATATATATAGTTCAAAGTACTTGTAACAGGCACATGACCTGTTATTAACTGCCACATAAGATGGCACATCTTTTGGGGTGCCTTAACCTTCCAAGCATGTGCTTGAAGTTTTGTGATACTAGGTTCACAAACTACATCTTCCTCCTCCTTCATCAATATATTATGTGCAACCCAATATCCAGATTTAACTGTGTACTATCCATTTCTTGAATAGCTCCAGCAATACGTGTCCCTATGATGTGTTAAACTAATGGCCATACTCCTTATGAGTGGTATATCAGCAGCAGCTATGTAGTTCTCCAGTCGGCCCACATCCCAAGACTTTGACTCTTGGTTAATAAGGTCACTCACTCTCAAGTTTGGATGAAAAACTGGTGCTGATGGGGACGCTGGTTTCGCTGGAATGGTAGGAATCCATGGATCTTCCCATACTTTCACCTCATATCCCGAATGTACTTTCCGTCTAACTCCCATCAATAGTAATTCTCGTGTCGCTGATATACTTGTCCACATATACGATGGGCTACATACAGTAAGCTGACCCAAAGGCGAGCTCAATCGATTATTGGCCTTTCAAGACTTGAGCTACCAAAGAATCTGGGTATTGGACCAATCTCCATAACTACTTTGCTAACAACGCCAGGTTAAACTCATGAATCATTCTGAACCCAATCCCTCCTTCCTCTTTAGATAAGCATAATTTATCCCATGTTGACCAATGTATACCTGTTTTTGGGGGTTCAAACTCCACCAGAACTGTGTAATGGCACTAGCTAAAGCAACACAGATCTCCAGTGAAAGTAGAAAGCAGGACATTACATAAGTTGGGAGTGCTAGCAGGATCGACTTGATCATAATTTCCTTGCCACCTTTTGATAACCACTTGCCTGTCCATACATTTACTTTATTCCTTAGCTTATCCTTTAAGAAGGCAAAAGGTTTGCATTTGGATCCATTGGTATCCTCTGGGATTCCTAAGTATGTTCCCATCACTCCTTCATTATGTATCTCAAGTGTGTCTTTAATCTCTTGCCTAACATCATGTACGATTCTCTTACCAAAGAGTAGAGATAATTTATCAAAATTAATGCATTGTCCTGAAGCTTGTCCATATTTCCTGACCACTTTCATTACTTCTTTACATTCACGGGGCTCTGCCTTGCAAAAGAACAGACTATCATCAGTAAAGAGAAGGTGAGATACCGAAGGACACGCACGTGTTATGCGCATCCCTGTTATCTTTCCTTGATTCTCTATATGGTTCAGAAGGCTAACGAGCGTTTCCGCGCATAGAATAAAAATGAAACGGGACAGAGGATCCCCTGCCTTAGACCTCTCTCCGGGATAATATTCCCTCTTGGCTGGTCATTCATAAAGACTTTATACTTTACTGATGTTACACATCGCATAATCCAGGTTATCCAGATTTCTGAAAAACTCATCTTTCTCATGGTAGCCTCAATGAAAGACCACTCCATTCTATCGTACCACGCCATTCTATCGTACGCCTTGCTTATGTCTGTTTTAATGGCCATCCTCTAATTTTGTCCACTCGGTTTGGTTCTTAGAGCATGAAACATCTCCTAAGCAATCATAATGTTGTCAGATATCTCTCTCCCAGCAACAAAGGTTGACTGGGTTTCTGAAATCCGATCTGGTAGAATATTTTTCACCCTCTGGCATAAGACCTTGGAGATTGGCTTGTAACTAACATTACATAAACTGATGGGACGTAGCTGGCTGATCTGATTTGGCTTATCTACTTTCGGAATGAGACATATGTTTGTATCATTTAGGCCAGAAGGCAACGTGCCTTCAAACAGAAATTGATTAACCATAAGAGTTAGATCATCCTTAACAATATCCCAAAATTTCTGGTAGAATAGCGCGGTCATTCCATCTAGTCATGAGGATTTCTCTGGATGCATCGCAAAAATAGCTAATTTGACCTCTGATTCAGTGAATGTTGACGTGAGCCTATCATTGTCTGCTGATGTAATGGTTGTAGAAACCTCATATTGTGCTTCCTCTATATCCTCCGGATTTGATGATTGGAAAATATGTCTAAAATAACTTGTAGCAATGGCTACAAGTCCTTCCTCATCCACAACAACGTTCCCATCTTCATCCAGTAATTGTGTAATCTTGTTCCTCGCCCTTCTCTGCTTCATGAGGGCGTGAAAGAATTTTGTGTTCCTATCTTCTTCCCTTAACCAAAAGACCCTACACTTCTGCTTCCAAAACGTATCTTCCGCCTTAAGAGCGCCAGACAGTTCCTTTAAAGTTGTTGCAACCTCTTCAGTCGTGGCATCATCGTTTGAGGATAATTGATCTACTTTTTCTTTTAACTCCTCCACACTTCTCTCAGAATTCAGATTATGATGTCTCTTCCAGTCGCATAAGGCTTTCCGGAAACTTGCAGTATGCTCCATAATACTTGCATCTATTGGTTGATCTGGTGATTTCCATCCATTAAGAACGATTTGCATGAGCTCCTCATTGTCTAGCCACCTCTTATCAAATTGAATTTTTTTTATCTCCTCGGTTTCTTTCTGAGAATGTCTGCTAAGATTGGACGATGATCCGATCCCTAGAGCCTCATATACGTCACTTTAGAATGATGAAACTTTTCATGCCAGTCCTCATTCTCAACAGATCTGTCAAGGCGGCATCTAACTGTAACTCTCCATGCTCTTTTTCATGCCCAGGAGCATATTTCATGTAAAAGGAAAATTTATCATACCACAATCACTCAGCATTTGCCTGAAAAGTAGGAATGAGCTGTCTGAGCGTTGTATGCCTCCTTCCTTCTCCTCATGACAAGTAATTTTATTAAAGCCACCTATCATAGACCAGTGTCCATTTTTTGTTGTTGAGAACTCGTAAGACGTCGATACAGGATCCCCATTAACAAACGTCATATAGAATTTTATTTCATCAATGACTGCCTCAATGTCAATCATTATGTTATTCGAAACTAAAACATTAACTTGAAATTCATCCATCAAAAATAAAGCTAAACCTCCGCTGATACCAAGTGGCTCAACGGTAAACAAACGATCAAATCCTAAGTTGGTCTGAATGTTTTGCAACAGCAACCTCCTGTTATTCGTCTCAGAGAGAAAAACAAGTCTTGGACGATGTTTCTGACACATCTCCGT